ATGTGTAGCTTTGTTTCTTCATTACTTGCTGTTTGTTACAATAATAAACTCACTATATCTTTAGTGCATGCTGATCTACACAAACTTTTGCAAATTTCAATAAGAACAGTACCGCTTTCTCCTAATTAGTAAGAGTAATTGTTCATCAACAAATTGGAAGAAATGTAGATTGTGTTAAAACCAGTCTTTCACAAATATTTATTAAGCGTCTAGAAAGGGACTCTTCCTTAAATTACAAAGGTAAAATTATGCTCCAAGAAAGGAAATACAGTAAATCTTTTTGTACCTTCCAAATAAAAACATCTCACCATCTGTCTTGATACACAAACCACTGAGCATTATAATTTTCAAATATTCAAAAAAATTCAAAAGGAACTATTAAGGAAATTTCTGGGACAGCGCAATTTCCTAAAACATTAACTTATAACATTAACAAATATTGTAGAATGCATGCCATATCATCATTTTTAATCTTCAATATACCAATGACCACGCAACACTGACATATGCTTTGATATGTGAATTAGTGAAAGAAAAGGTGAAAATGCTCAAAACACTTCCACTATTAAGTATAATAAAATATAGAGAAGTCTGCTGTTAAAGAATATTCTACAATTACAAGTTGTGATATCATTTATACCGCATTGGGTTTTACTTGATTAACAGATATCCCTGTATTCCCTAACCTTAGTACAACGATGGAAAAAGAATAATTTAAGCACTCCTCTGCTTCTTTATTGTGGAGAAAGCTGTATTTTCAGGTCACTTTCAAAGTTGTATGAAGCATTCTAATTCAAGAAGAGGTGACCTTAGGTAAACATCCACTGCTATTTAACAGTGTTCACTGGTAAAGCACCTTCTTTCAATAAACTAATTTCTGTCAAAGAAAGCATCTTCTTAAGATGTAATGAAGTAGGAAATGTCCAATTAACCCCTTGCTGAAGGTTTACTCTTGTCACCAGAAAATGCAAATAAGATCACTTTATTGGCCAGATACAATTTCGAGTATTAGGAATTTGTCTTTTCGCATACCCCAACTTACTCTCCATGAGACACACAGACAGGGAGAGCAGCTTGGGGTCAGAGCGCAGGATCAGCCATTTATACGGTGCCCCTGGAGCAGCTGGGTTTAAGGGCCTTAGGCAGGGGCCCAACACAGTAGGATTCCTCTGCCAGCCGCAGGATACGAGCCACCGCACACTCAGTGCTAAAACAGTTCCTTGCCTGCATAATTTCACAAAACTGCTTTAAAGTGAAACTGAGCATATAAATCTCAACAACAAACAGGTGCCATTCTGTTACAGTGATTATTATTATTATTATTATTATTATTATTATTATTATTATTATTATTATTATTATTGAGTAGTTATCCCACTCAACCACAATTCCTTGAGACCTCTATATAGGTACAAGTATTTAAGACAAACATAGAAAATGTTGTGAAGGAAGACTTCTTTTAAACAGAGATTTTCTTCTGTCAAACAGAGCAAAAATTCAAGACAAATAGCTAGTTCAGAGAAACTGCAATTTTCTATATACCATACGCAGTGCAGACAATGCCTATTAATGTGATAATATTATTGTATACATAGACTTCTTATAATATCTGAACTTTGTTAAGAGCCACAGTCATGTACATACTGTAGAACTGGTCCTATAATTGCACACACATGCAGGAATACAAACTGTATTTAAACCTTTAAGATACATACACACGTTAAAAACTACCAAATAGGAATTGAATTCCCTGAACATAAAATGTTGGCCAGTGTTTCAAAATGTGGATCACAAATCTTGAGCAATATTAATGAGTAAAGTGCATTTATTTCCAAATATGCAACTTGAAGTTCTCATATATTCCAGATGTACAATATGTAAGTAGATGTTTGCAAGTGGTACCCAAAGAAAACACTTGTATCTCAGACTTTTTTGCACAAAAAGCCACACAAGTTAACAGCAGAACAATACGCAATTACAACTTAACTGCTTTAAAGGGCTAAGTTAATGAGGGGAATCAAAGAGGTATTATAATGGGTTTACCTTAAATGACCAGGACAGACCCTGAAATAACCTCAGGGTATCTGTAACAACAACATAATTCAAGACATTAAGGCTTCTGATTTCCCCCTCACATGGCCTTATCATAACATTTTATGGGGCTTTTAAAGTGGAATTATGAAATTAAGGTTCAAAATAAAAAACTTACATGCATCTCAATGTGCTTACACAAATCCCTTGATGGCAATGCAGTCTCGCAACAACAGGTTTTTTGTTATGTACTTTGCAAAGCAGGAAAATTGGTGTAACAGGGCTTAGTAAATACCCTTTTTGTTGTCAGTGTTTTATTTTACCTGTTATGATGCTGTATATTGTGTGAATCACACAAGCCATTACATTTTTCACATTACATTTCTTAACTGTCTTTTATTAATAAATCCGTTTTATTTAGTATAACAAAAAGCAACAACTATCAATGATAAGTTAGAAAAACTGATACTTTAAAAGACATTTTTAACTATTTAGCAGATACTTATGAGCATATCAGCAACCTCTGCCAAAAACTCACTTTAAGTAGACTTACAATTAGTTGTTTTTTACCTTTTTAAAAATGCTTTGTACTAGCAATACTCTGCTGCTGTGTAGCATCTTATTATGATGCATACTCTCTTTGACAAAGTTTCAGCAGTTAGCAGTTACTCTGCACTTTGTCATTACCTATGATTAATTTGATTACAAGTTACATAATAGTCATTAACACCAGAAGAAGACAGCAGAGAACAGTAGCTTCCTGCTTTACTTCAGCAACAGTATACCATGTCCTCGGCACCAGTTTCTACAGTAATTGCCACACGAATCGATGATTTACGGAAGCAAAAAATAAATGAGAAGGCATGTGTTGCTTTTACCCAAATGTCGCATGAGTACTGAGAGAGAAAGCATTAGCAAGTGCAATTAACCACCCAAGAAGTGCGTGCTACTTCAACTACTGTATTATCATGTAGCCAAATCACCTTTCAGACAGATCTCTTCTACAGTCCAAATCTAAACAATAGTGGATCTGTTGTCTGCACCACAGACAGTTTCTTCTGTCTGAACATCAAAACCAATTCTCCATCCTGCTAATATGAGGCCATGTCTACACAACACACACTGAAAATCTGGAGGTTCTATTTTATGCAAATTAGAGAATATGCGTTGCAAAATACATTTTAAAAACAGGGCAACAGCAAATGCCCATTTTTCTTGTTCTCACTAGCACTGCAAATCTAATATACTTCCCCTAAAAAAAAATAGAAACCTGACAAATAAATTTCTAACGATGCCACCTAATTTCTGAGACTAACACATGCATGCACTGCATTCATCTTTCAAATGCATCTTTCAAATGAAACCTGGTGACAAAAGAAATAATTTAAGTATGACATGTTATACATTTCTGAAATTGCTCGAGGAGTGAACACCCAGTCTATTCATTGCAATATGTCTGATAATTATAGTACATAGGAAGACATGTCGGGGAATCATATACTAATAACATGAAAGTCTTTTCTTGTGCAAAAATAATAATTTGAATAGAAAATGCATTTGCTGAAATAAAAAGCAATCCTCGATTCAGGGAGTAAACAAAGTGAGCCACAGCTTTGTTCTGTGCTACCTAATTATTTCTTTAACGTTCCACCAACTTAGTGCATGATGACATTATTTCCTCCAAATAAAAGAAAAAAAACCTCTGAAGCAGACATCTTTATTTAAACATGTTTTTATAAATAAAGAAACCCAGGTGCCAAGGATAAAGATGTGCTCTTAAGTAAAACAACACTATTGAAAAATTTCCAGTATCTGCTGTTCATCAAAGGTGTCGAATATGTACATCTAAAGTAAGAGATCTCATTGTTAATGTTAGCAATAAACACAAAACATCTGGACTAAAAATAGTGGTAAAGTCATGATAAATACTATGTATACATTCTATGTACAATTGCAAAAAAACAACCCTGGATTTATTCTGGCTTCAACAGACATAAAAGGCAGATAAGTAAAAATCACACACTAAGACCTAAGTTAAGCAAGTCGACAAAACTTGTTAAAATGGCTAATTTATTGTGGTGCTTGGCAAATTTGGGAGGCCCTCTGTAAAGTTTTAAACCACACTGTTCAATACATTTAACAAAGTGGTTCATAGAACAACCCAGGAGTACCAATACGAATACCACATTCAAAGCCAAGTTGAATAAATTATGAATGGAACTAAATATTGAACCTACTCAAAAACAATGAGACTATGGAATCATAACACTCACAAAAAAAAACTTCGGTATGAAAATTAGGTTTAGTTTTGACTAAATGGCAAGAAAAACAAAGTGCATAGATCCTACACATTTGTCCTACTGTACAATTCATTATACCAGCTCCAGATTTCTTTCCACGATGGTCTTTCAATGCTTAATTTCTCTTTACTATCCTTGCAATATCTTTGATTCAAAAAAGAAGAACACCTCTGCTAACTAGTATGGGTGTGTAAAGTTTAGTTTTACAGGAAAGATGTTAAATGGATAAAAGAAAGCTTGAATTTATTGTTTTCTTGAAGCTAAAAGATACTTACTTTCTATTCCCTTAATGATTGAGTCACTTGCTTCCTGGATTTCTTCAATGTGTGGAAAGATTTCATTATTCAAACTAATGTCACATTTTGTTTATTTTTATTTCATTTTCTTTTCATATAGCCCAGCAGAGGTGGTGTTAGGATAAACTATGACATACTGTGACGCAGGCAGAAGACAAAGAACATCACACCAATCTCATGATAATAAAAACTGAGGATGATCCCCCTGTACTCTTTCCACACAAACACTTCAGAATGTGTACAGTTGGACTGGCAATCTCCAGTAGCTCACACTGTAAAGTTGAAACTGTGTGATTCCTCACTGAAGAGAAAGTAAAAAAAGAGAAATGGGGTTCGGAAATTGTTAATATCTATATTTGGTTTGGAAACTTACCTCTTGTAAAGAGCGAGCTGCTGGCTTGTCCTGATGGTTGGCCAGTATTAAAAACGGCAATGTGCAGAGTTGGGGGTGCTGGAGGGCTGAGTGCAGTTCATTCCTGGCAATCTCTAGGTCCTCTTCGGAAGAAGCGCTGTCTAGTACAAATATAACCCCCTGTGACCCCTGGTAATAGCGACTCCAGTATTTCTTGATATTGTCAGCACCTTGAAAAAAAAAAGGCAAAAAATAATTTCTTTAATCACCTCATGATTAATACAAGACAGACATTTTTCATTTGGGTTTGCTAATTGTTGGAAACCCATGGATATACAGTAGAAGCCAAAGTCAACATATAGGCACCTGTCCTTGCTCCAAAAAATAATTATTAAACATAAATACAAATGCAAAAATTATACAGAGATACAGTACAGAAACAAAAGTTGAAACCTGCCATAAATGTTTTGAAAAACAACTGCTAGAGGTTATATAGGACTGCATGGCTGAATTTGCTTTTGTACGTCAAGGCAGAAAAACCCATTTGTTTGTACTAAATTTGTTTTTATTTGTTTTAAATTTCTTCCAAGAATGATTATGTTTTAAAGTGCGAGAAAATGCAAAACTATCTATATAATAATAGAGCTTCAACATGAGGCTACTTTGGATTTCAATGCACTTCTTTTGAAGGTCAACAAAATCTACACTACAACCTTCAACAAATTTTTGTAATCAAAAACAAGAAACTCACATTACTGTTAATTATTTTGCATGATTATTATATGTCGTGTCATTATATGACATGAAGCGTGCTTCAACATTGCAGTACATTTTTAGGCTTTTCCAATGGCCAACACATATTCTTCATGTTATCTTAACTGATCATATACTGTATGTCATTCATGACCGTATCACTGCTGAGATGGAATCATGAGTGGTTTCACTTCTGTAGTCAGTTCATATACTGTATAAAAATATTCAATGTGGATTGGACATCCAATTCTGCGTCTCTATTAGGACAAGTGCCACTCTTCGTGTGATTTGCAAACAGTTCCCACACTTAAAAGGTTTCTTTTCAATCTTCAATCTTCAGTCTAGCAGTGTCAACTTTTAGAATCATATTCCATTCAAAACTTAACTTAATGTTCATATTATTAAATATTCTATTAATAAATGGAAGCTAGAGGTCACAATCATCACACTAAAGTTCTGCATATTTAATAACCTAAACTGACCAACCTTTCAGGTCTCACAAATTCTTTGCATTTTGTATCTAACTTTTTCTGTAGAATAAAATAAACCACCCTTTAATTGTCCTCCCTGCTAGTTTCAAACCATTCCATGTCTTGCAGAGCAATGGGCTATGCAACTTAAATTTAGTCAAGATGCAGTAAAATGTTTAACACTACTCTGCTAGGTGTGGGATTTCTTACTTCCAATTTGCCTCTGACAGTTACCCTGTAAATGAAGATTCTTTGATTAAAATGTATTACCTGGTGAAGAATGGTATTTTATTTCTAATACCAAATGGATCTTCCTTCAGTGTCACAAGCTTCATCTATAGGTATTCTATAACTGGGTGCAATAACAGACATGTATATTCAACTAAATCAGCTGTAAAATTGACCAATGCCCATTTAGAGCAAACAAAGGAGTTCTCTGAGAATGTCTCTAAAACATTCTAATTTTAAAATTGTTTTAATTCACATAGCTTTTGTTTTCTTTGCCTTAGTAGTAAACCCCATACTATGGTATCGCTCATTACAATGTTAATCTTTGCACATCTTTAATTCCAGCAGTTAAAAAATGCCAACATAAAATATCTCCAATTTTAAAGGGGTCTATTTGCACTTCAACTATATGAGATGTTTAGTATTTTTATTTTATTTTTAAATAACCTCACTTCAGATGGGACTCATTTTCTCATTTACATGGTCTTCCATGATCCAATGGACTCAATAGATGAATCAAGGTCCAGGCTTAAGAAATGGATTAATTTAATTTTCAAATTTTCAAATGTATTCAATTATCAGAATCATTTATTTTACTACAAGCTTTTAACTCTTGCTCGCATTGGCAAGTAACTCAGTGTTTTCTAGGAATATTTTTATTCATTTCTAATTTAATCTATGAAGCTTTTATTATTACTTCCTTATCCCATCTGAGCTTGAACTACCTGCAACTGTTAGATTTAAGCATATGCACAGTGCAAAGATTACTGTGCTGTTACAGTATGCGAGCAAACTCATTATTAAAAACTTCACGCTGAAAACAACCGTTTTAAACAAATCTATGAATCATTTTAGGATCCGTTTATGTTGATCCTCAAAATCCAATTGAATGACTGTGTTGTCTTCTTTGAACCCAGTGTTAAATCCCAGTAAAGTCTCAATGCTTCATGTCCTACAGAAAATGGTGTAGATATGACTTTATTCAAAAATTAATTTGAGAAAGCTTTTAATTAAATGTACTACAGTACCTTGCCATCAGGCGCCCCAATCTGATATGAAAGAAACCCCTCCTACTGTAGTTTTTCCACACTGACAAACAGCAAGACATGTCGTTTACAGTTTAAAAAGTACTTTATGATTTCTTCTACACATCAGCAGAGTGATTAGAGTTCAAGCAGAGGCTATTAAAGAGGCAAAGATGATTCAATTCCATGTTATGTTGCCATAAACTATAAGTTAAGAGCAATCATCAAACCTTTTCCGTCATGGGAAACCTGAATTCACTGGTTCTTAGATAAAAAGATAAAGCAGATGGTTTATTTTAAACCATATAGGAATAAATCACATCCTTTTTAATATGAGAGCATTTTTATTAATTAAAGGTTATATAAAGTGGATGTTATTTTAAGATTTATCATACAGTCCTGATAGTTTCTTGAATTTAGACATCAAAATGTTACATACACATCTACACAAAAGGTGAACTGGAAACATACTGTGCATTTGTATAAGTACTGATATTCAGAGACTATACAGTCTCATTTCTTTTTACCTTTCATCCTTGCATTTGCAGTGGCAACTGTAGTTCCCATTTACTCTGCCATAGTTAAAACAAACATATAGGCCTGGATTTGAACAAAACACATATAATCTCTATGCCTATTAATACTGTACAGTACCTAAATGTTTAGTTTTTCCTGTAGAACAAATTTTGAAAGTTACTGTACATAATAGTGTTGTCCAAGATCTGGATATCTAAGGATATCTATTGAGAACATAGGGTTTTACTAAGCAGCTTGCTTATTAAGATGTGAGCGCAAACAATTTGTTAGTGGAAGTACAGTAATTCAAACAAGAGACCAACACTCTAAGGATGAGGATGAATTGTTTTGTGCCTTTCTTTGTCAGAAATGTTCAAATTTGAAATGAAAATTCAACAGAAAATAGGACTGTGATTAATAGCACACAAAAGTTGTATTTTTTCTATAAATCTGCTGTTTAATTCAGTTTAAATGTCACCCGGTGTGCTCAGTAATGTATACATTGTTCGCAGATAAATGTAATAAAACACGGGTATACTGTAAAAATAAAATACATTTAATATAGCTTATACCTGAGTGGTAATATTCCAATTTTGCTTTATACCTCTATTTCAACTTAAAAAAAAAACTAAAAATGGCCTTTATCAGAGATTTTGCTCCAATAATAAAAAAGTAAAAACTGTTTGATTACAGTATATGCAAATAAACATTCTGTCCTGCAATGTAAATTTCTTTGCTTCTACTTATTGCCACCTACTGGTTACTAATAAAGAAACAAGGAAAAAGGCTTAGACAAATATAGTGTGCAGTTATTTGCATACAATATAATTTTCATTTTAGTTATTTTATTTTAGAATAATAGACCACTCATTAACAAAGCTGAGCATTCAAATGTAAAACGTACAGTAGGTTTTATGTTGTAGGTTTCATAATAATTTAGCCTCTGCTAAAATAAGTTCCAGGCATATGGGAGAAATGTCATTATGGCAACAAAACTAATGTCTGTACACATAGTATGTATTCTTCTTGATGTATATATTAGGTTTCTGCAAAAATATGTTACCCTTTTTTCTTTTTGGTCACTGTCCTAACAAAGCTTTGATATACACTGTTCAAAAGAAAATACAGATGAAAGTTTTGATGGAAGAGCCCTAATAAATGCCAATCATAACAGTAAAAACACTTGAAAACTTTCTCAAATCCTTCTTTGATTTTATTCATATGCCTTTAACAGACCCATGAACAGACTAGTTCTGTTGGACAGTAAAACGTATGACTTACTGTACTTACAAGCCTGGTCTTATACTGTATTGCATTCTTCACTCCATTATATCAGACTATTCCAGCTATAAATTGCAAACTACATCCCATATTCTTAACTATAAAACAAATCTGCAGTACTTTATTGTACTGTATCTACAGTTACAACAATCTTGTATCTACAAATCTGTAGTTGCTTTCATGAAAAAAAATGTTTTTTCCTTTACTGATCTAAATTAGGCATGGCTGAAATATGACTAATTTTATCATTGATTTTATTAATCTGAATATATACCACATCCATTAAATCATACACTGATAAAAGTCTAGTCACCAGCAGTTTCCATAGCATATTCAAAGTAAAGGCTAATCTTCCAAACAGCTGCAAAAAGCAGGTCTGGAGAAATCATTTAATTCTGAATTGGACCTCTTAATCCTAGTGATGTTACTAGATATTATTATTTTTATTTTTTTTTATTTTAGAGAACAAAACAAAACCATTTTACATATGAACAACCATTATTCAGCCTTACATCACAGGTACAAATTCCTGTTTGTCCCCCTATTTTTTACAATTATATAATTTTTTAACAGAACTATATACATTCAAAAGAAGGAAGATGTACAGTATGTACTGAACCCATCTAGACCAATATTTGACAATTTATTTCATTTGTAATTTTAGTGAAAATGTTATTTTTTCCATTATATATATTTCCTTTATTAATTCAATCCAATCATTCATTGTTGGTAGATCTGTGAGAAGCCACTTTCTTGTTATAGCTTTCTTCCCTGCTGATATAAGGATTCCAAATAAATATTCATCACTTCCCCTCCAAACAAAATCCAGTTTACCAAAGTATAAAGCCTCAAATGTAAAGGGTACATTCTTTTCAAATATAGTTTCCAGGGCCTCATGTAACTCCTTCCAGAAAAGCCTTATTTTAGGGCAGTTCCAGAATATATGCCAATGATCAC